GATTTTGGGGGTCCTGAGGGAATTTTGGGGGTCCTGAGGGAATTTTGGGGTCCCTTTGGGGGGGTCCTGGGAGGGTCTTGGGGGGTCCTGGGGAGATTTTGGGGATCCTGAGGGGATTTTGGGGGTCCTGAGGGATTTTGGGGTCCCTTTGGGGGGCTCCTGGGTGGATTTTGGGGGGTCCTGAGGGATTTTGGGGTCCCTTGGGAGAGTCCTGGGGAGGTTTTGGGGGTCCTGAGGGATTTTGGGGGGACCTGGGGGGATTTTAGGGTGTCCTGGGCGGATTTGGGGCAGATTTTGGGGTCCCTCGGGTGGATCCAGGAACCCTTTGGGGATTTTGGGGAGGATTTTGGGGTTCTCCCCCCGTTGAGTTTTGGGGTCACCCCCAAATTTTGGGGTTCCCCGAATTGCGTCCCCTGCAGGCTCTGCTCGGGCCCCACGGCCCCGGTTTGGGATTTCGTCACCCGCCACGTCCGGAGCCAGCGGTGAGGGGGGGACCCCAAAATCTGGGGGGTGAAAAAACCCCGAAAACCCCCCAAAAACTACAAGGGGACCCCAAAATTTAGGGGTGGGGAGTCCTTTCCAGGACTACAACTCCCATCATCCTTTGCGCCCCATTGAGCCCCATTATAGCTGCGCCTATAAGTCCCATCATCCCTTGCGCCCCATTGAGCCCCATTATAACCGAGCCTACAACTCCCATCATCCCCTGCGCCCCATTGAGCCCCATTATAACTGAGCCTACAACTCCCATCATCCCCTGCGCCCCATTGAGCCCCATTATAACTGAGCCTACAACTCCCATCATCCCCTGCGCCCCATTAAGCCCCAGTATGGCTGAGCCTACAACTCCCATCACCTCTTGCGCCCCATTGAGCCCCATTATAGCCGAGCCTACAACTCCCATCATCCCTTGCACCTCATTTAACTTCATTATAGCTGCACCCACAACTCCCATCATGCCTTGCGCCCCATTGAGTAGTATTATAGCTGAGCCTACAACTCCCATCATGCCCCGCGGTGCCCATAGGCTGCCATTGCCAGCCCCTCTTCCCAAACTACAACTCCCATCATGCCCCGCGGCGCTTTGGTCGGGGGCCCCCCCCTTTACAGAGATTTTGGGGTGTCCCCACAGGAACGTGGAGAAGATTCGGGGAAATCTGCGCTGGTATCCAAAAATTTTGGGGGCTCCCAAAAATTTGGGGGCTCCTGGAAGTGAAATTTGGGGGTTTGGGGGAATTTTGGGGTTTTTTGTTTTTTTTGGGGAGGATTTTTGGGGTTTTATTTTGAAAATTTTGGGAGGGTTGGGGCGTTTTTACAGGTTTTTGGGTTTCTTTGGGAATTTTCGTGGAATTTTGGGATTTTTTTGGTTTAAACTTGACATTTTGGTGGAATTTTTGGAAATTTTGGGGATTTCATTTGAGGTTTTGGGAGAATTTGGGGATTTTTTTGGTTTAAATTTGAGATTTTGGGGGAATTTGGGATTTTTAGTTCTGTTTTTTTTAAGGAGAGAAATTTGGGAATTTCCCAAAATTTTTCCTTGACTCAGGGCCAGGTCCCGGCACCTGCAGGAGCTGGAGGTGAGGGGGAGCCCAAATTTGGGGGGATTTGGGTGAATTTCGGGTGGATTTTGGGGGAATTTTAGCTGAATTTGGGTGAATTTCGGGTGGATTTTGGGCTGATTTCTGCTGGATTTGGGGGTGAACTTTGGGGTAATTTTGGGCTTAACTCGGCCAATTTTGGAGTGAATTTTGGGGGAATTTTGGATGAATTTTGGGGGTGAATTATGGGGTATTTTTGGGCTGATTTTGGGGTGAATTTTTGGGTATTTTTGGGCTCATTTTGGGCGTGAATTTTGGGCCCATTTTGGTCCCATTCTGGGCCCATTTTGGCTCATTTTGGGCCCAATTTGGGCTCATTTTGGGCCCATTCTGGGCTCATTTTGGGCCCATTTTGGGCCCGAATTTTGGGCTCATTCTGGGCTCATTTTTGGCCCATTTTGGGCATATTTTGGCTCATTTTGTGCTCCTTTTGGGCTCTTTCTGGGCCCATTTTGGGCTCATTTTGTGCTCATTTCGGCTCATTTTGGCCTCATTCTGGGCTCATTTTGGGCTGATTTTGGGGTGAATTTTGGGTCCATTTTGGCTCATTTTAGGTCATTTTTGGCTCATTTTGGGACCCATTTTGGGCTCATTTTGGGCTCATTTTGGGTCATTTGTGTCTCATTTTGGGCTCATTTTGGGCTCATTTTGGGCTCATTTTGTGCTCATTTTGGGCTCATTCTGGGCCCATTTTGGGCTCCTTTCGGCTCATTTTGGGCTCATTTTGGGTCATTTTGGGCTCATTTTGGGGGTGAACTTTGGGCTCATTTTGGGCTGATTTTGGGGTGAATTTTGGGTCCATTTTGGGTCATTTTGGGCTCATTTTGGGGCCCATTTTGTGCTCATTTTGGGCTCATTCTGGGCCCATTTTGGGCCCATTTTGGGCTCCTTTCGGCTCATTTTGGGCTCATTTTGGGCCCATTTTGGGCTTATTTTGGGCTCATTCTTGGCCCATTTTCGGCTCATTTTGGGCTCTTTCTGGGCCCCTTTTGGGCTCATTTTGGGTCATTTTGGGGGTGAATTTTGGGCCCATTTTGGGCCCATTTTGGGTCATTTTGGGCTCATTCTGAGCCCATTTTGGGCTCATTTTTGACTCATTTTGGGCTCATTTTGGGCTCTTTCTGGGCCCATTTTGGTCCCATTTTGGCTCATTTTGGCTCATTTTGGGCTCATTTTGGGGGTGAATTTTGGGCTTATTCTGGGGCTCATTCCGGGCCCATTTTGGGCCCATTTCGGCTCATTCCGGCTCATTTTGGGCTGATTTTGGGGTGAATTTTGGGCTCATTTTGGGCCCATTTTGGGCTCATTTTGGGGCCCTATTTGGGCTCATTCTGGTGCTCATTTTGGGCTCATTTTGGCTCATTTTGTGCTCATTTTGGGCCCATTCTGGGCCCATTTCGGGGCTCATTTTGGGCTGATTTTGGGGTGAATTTTGGGCTCATTTCGGCTCATTTTGGGCATTTCCGGCGCAGGCCGCCGCGGCTCCTCCCGGCCGCCAGGGGGCGCTGCGGGCGGCGCGCGCGCGGCTGCGCCGGGAGCTGCGGGAGCTCGCGGCCGCCACTGCGCATGCGCGGGACGCCGCGCGCCGCCTGGGTGAGTCCGGCCGGCCCCGCGGGCCCCGCGCAAAGGTTCCTCCCCCCCCAAAACCCCCAAATTTCGGGTCCCCACCCCCGAGTTTGGGGTCCCTTCCCCCCCCAACCCAATTTTGGGGTCCCCACACCCAAATTCGGGGTCCCGCACCGATTTTGGAATCCCTGCCCCTCCTCCAACGCAAAATTTTGGGACTCTCACCCCCCTCAAACTCCAAATTTTGGGGTTCCCAACCCCATTTCAGGGTCCCAAACCCTCAATTTTGCGGCCCCCACCCAAATTTTGGGGTCCCCACCCCCATTTTGGGATCCTTGACCATCATTTTTAGGGTCCCTGACCCCCCCCCAACCCCCAAATTTTGGGCTCCCCACCCCAATTTTTGGGGTTCTTGAACACCCAAAACTCCAAATTTGGGATCCCCACCCCAATTTCAGGGTTCCAAAACCCCAAATTTTGGGTCGCCACCCCAAATTTTACAGTTTTCACCCCAAATTTTGGATTTCCCACCTCAATCTCAGCGCCACAAAACCCCAAATTTTGGGCTCCCCACCCCAATTTTGGGTTCTCAAAACCCCAAATTTTGGGTTTCCCGTGCCAAATTTTGGGCACCCACCTCAAATTTTGGGGTCCTCACCCCAAATTTTCAGTTTCCCACCCCAAATTTTGGAGTTTTCACCCCAAATTTTGGGGTCTCCACCCCAATTTCAGGGTTCCCATGCTGAATTTTTGGGTCCCCGCCTCAAATTTTGGGTCCCAAAACCCCAAATTTTGGATTCCCCACCCCAAACTTTGGTGTCCCCACCCCAGTTTTGGGTTCCAAAATCCCAAATTTTTGGGTTTCCCCGTCAAATTTTGGCATCCCCACCCCAATTTCATGGTTTCAAAACCCAAATTTTGGGTTCCCCACCCCAATTCTGCGTTCCACACCCCAAATTCAGGGTCCCCCCCCCAAATTTTGGGGTCTCCAGCCAAATTTTTAGGCTGCCCACCCCAAATTTTGGGTCCCCACCACAAATTTCGGGGTCCCCAAATTTTGTGTTTTCACCCCAAATTTTGGGTTTCCCCCCCCCAGAGGCGTCGCTGGGGGCGGGGCAGGGCCGGCGGTGGGCGGAGCTTCGGCGGGGGGCGGAGCTTCGGCTGCTGGGGGCGGAGCCTCGGCCGGCGGCGCTGCGGGGCGGCCTGCAGGGGGCGCTGCAGGCCCCGCCCACCCGGTGAGATGGCCTTATATGGGCAAAGGGGGCGGGGCTTAGACGGAATGGCCTTATATTAGCATAAGGGGGCGGGGCTTAGAGGGGATGGCCTTATATTAGAATAAAGGGGCGGGGCTTAGAGGGAATGGCCTTATATTAGCATAAAGGGGCGGGGCTTAGAGGGGATGGCCTTATATGGGCAAAAGGGGCGGGGCTTAGAGGGAATGGCCTTGTATTAGCATAAAGGGGCGGGGCTTAGGGGGGATGGCCTTATATTAGCATAAAGGGGCGGTGCTTAGAGGGGATGGCCTTATATTAGCATAAAGGGGCAGGGCTTAGAGGGAATGGCCTTGTATTAGCATAAAGGGGCAGGGCTTAGAGGGGATGGCCTTGTATTAGCATAAAGGGGCATGGCTCAATGGGGGATGGCCTTATATGGTCAAAAGGGGCGGGGCTTAGAGGGAATGGCCTCATATTAGCATAAAGGGGAGGGGCTTAAATGGGATGGCCTTTTATGGGCAAAAGGGGCGGGGCTTAGAGGGGATTGCCTTATACGTGCATAAAGGGGTGGGGCTTAAGGGGAGGGCCTTATATGGTCAAAAGGGGGCGTGGCTTAGACGGAATGGCCTTGTATTAGCATAAAGGGGGCGGGACTTAGAGGGGATGGCCTTATATGGGGAAAAGGGGCGGGGCTTAGAGGGGATGGCCTTGTATTAGCATAAAGGGGAGGGGCTTAGAGGGGATGGCCTTATATGGGCATAAAGGGGCGGGGCTTAGAGGGGATTGCCTTATGTGGGCAAAAGGGGGCGGAGCTTACAGGGAATGACTATATTAGCATAAGGGGCTGGGGCTTAGAGGGATGGCCTTATATTAGCATAAAGGGGTGGGGCTTAAAGGAGATGGCCTATGGGCATAAAGGGGCGGGGCTTAGAGGGGATGGCCTTATATTAGCATAAAGGGGCGGGGCTTAGAGGGGATGGCCTTTTATAGGCAAAAGGGGGCGGGGCTTAATGGGGATGGCCTTATATTAGCATAAAGGGGCGGGGCTTAAACGGGATGGACTTATATGGGCAAAAGGGGCGGGGCTTAGAGGGGATTGCCTTATACGTGCATAAAGGGGCGGGGCTTAAGGGGAGGGCCTTATATGGTCAAAAGGGGGCGTGGCTTAGAAGGAATGGCCTTATATTAGCATAAAGGGGAGGGGCTTAAGGGGGATGATTTTATATGGGCATAAAGGGGCGGGGCTTAGAGGGGATGTCCTTATATTAGCATAAAGGGGAGGGGCTTAGAGGGGATGGCCTTATATGGGCATAAAGGGGGCGGGGCTTAGAGGGGATGACCTTATATTAGCATAAAGGGGCGGGGCTTAAGGGAATGGCCTTCTATGGGCATAAAGGGGGCGGGGCTTAATGGGAATGGCCTTATATTAGCATAAAGGGGAGGGGCTTAGAGGGGATTCCCTTATATTAGCATAAAGGGGCGGGGCTTAGAGGGGATGGCCTTTTATGGGCAAAAGGGGCGGGGCTTAGAGGGGATGGCGTTGTATTAGCATAAAGGGGCGGGGCTTGGTGGGACTCGCAGTGGGCGGGGCTTAGTGGGGATGACTATTTGGGCAGAATGGGGGCGGGGCTTAATGAGGAGTCCTTAAATGGTAATTAAGGGGGAGGGGCTTAATGGGGATGTCCTTAATTGGGAATAAAGGGGCGGGGCTTAATGGGGATGTCCTTATATGGAAATAAAGGGGGCGGGGCTGGGTGGCGATGTCCTTATATTAGCATAAAGGGGCGGGGCTTGGCTGGGATGTTCTTAAATGGAAATAAAGGGGGTGGGGCTTAGAGGGGAGTCCTTATATGGGCAAAAGGGGAATTTTGGGGAATTTTTGGGGGATTTTGGGGTCCCTGAGGAGGTTTTGGTGGATTTGAGGGAATTTTGGGGGGAATTTGAGATCATTTTGCGAGAATTTTGGGGGTTTTGAGGGAATTTCGGGGATTCTGAGGGAATTTTGGGGGTTTTGAGTTTTTTGGAGTTTTTGAGAGAATTTTGGCGAGTTTGAGGGAATGTTGGGGAGATTTGAGATTATTTTGAGAGATTTTTTGGGGTTTTTGAGAGAATTTTGGGGGTTTTGAGGGAATTTTGGGGTTTTTGAAGGAATTTCGGCAATTCTGAGGAAGTTTGGAGGATTCTGAGGGAATTTTGGGGATTTTGGGGTCCCCGAGGGGATTTTGGTGCATTTGAGGGAATTTTGGGGGAGCTTAAGATTATTTTGAAAGATTTTGAGGGAGTTTTGGGGCTTTTTGAAGTTATTTTGGGGATTTTAAGGGATTTTGGTGGGTTTTGAGGTTATTTTGGGGAATTTAAATGATTTTTCAGGGTTTTTTTTGAGGGAATTTTAAGGGGGTTTTGGGGATTTTAAGGGATTTGGGATTTTTTTGAGGGAATTTTGGGGATTTTATGGGATTTTTTGGGGTCCTTCCTCTCAGCCAATCACAGGCGGAGCTTTCGGCCATCTTGGCCTCGGGGGCGGAGCCGGAAGTTCTGGTGAGGGGGCGGGGCTTGGGAGGGGCGGGGCTTGGGGACCCCAAAAATCCCCTCAGGAACCCCAAAATTCCCTTAAAATTCCCCAAAATCCTCTCAGGAGCCCCAAAATTCCCTTAAAATTCCCCAAAATCCTCTCAGGAGCCCCAAAATTCCCTTAAAATTCCCCAAAATCCCCTCAGGAACCCCAAAATTCCCTTAAAATGCCC